TTTGGGTGGCTATTGTAAATGGTATTGTTTTCCTAATGTCCTTTTCAGCACTGTTGTTATTGCAATAGAGGAATCCAACTGATTTTTGGATGTTGATCTTATACCCTGCCACTTTGCTGAATCCTCCAATGAGGTCCAGTAGCTTTTTAACTGAGTCTTTGGGGTTTTCTATATATAGGATCATATTGTCTGCAATTGAGTTTTACTTCCTCTTTGCCAATTCAGATGCCTTTGATTTTCCTATCTCGCCATATAGCTCTGGCTAAGATGTCCAGCACAATATTGAACAGGAGTGGTGACAAAGGGCATACTGTCTGGCCCATCGGGTGTTCAAGGCTGCAATCTTTTGGAAGCGGATTACTAGGTTTGCCAAGATACCTGTGGGTGAGTTTGAACAGCTACCCTTGGTTCATAATTGAGAAATAGTTTTTAACTCTCTTGGAATTCAGATTTCTGTGGTCCATGGAGATGGGGGTGAGCCACCCAGGCCAGTCCCCTGAGGTGATCATTTGAACCTTGAGACTTGAGCAGACTAGTCTTCTAAAAGTCCAAAGATGTTGGTGTTGTTGTTATTGGAGGTGGTGGTTGTGTGCCATCAAGTCGGTTCTGACTCACAGCCACCCTGGAAATCTTCATGGGAACAGACAGACTCATCTTTCTCCCGCAGAGCAACTGATAAATTCGAATGGCTGACCTTGCTGTTAGCAGCCCAGGGTTGTAACTTCACTACCAGAATTCCTAAGTCAAACAATAGTCTTGTTAATTAGTAAAGACCATTTTGCCTTGCGCATTGTATACTTTTGAAGAATCTAGTTTTAACAACTACCCACAGAGAAGACCCGCATTTGGAAATAAGGGGAGGCAAGAACCGGCAACCTTAGGGTGAAGCATCTGCCCTTCAGGGATGAAGAGAATGGAGATCAAGTTCCGACTCACCATGCTTTGGCCTAATTTTAGAACAGTACAAGGAACTGTTTAAGAGCTTCAAAGATTCCTGAGAAAAACCAACCATTTGCATAAGCAGATATAAAATTACAGTACAGGCTTGAAGATCTGGTCCTAGCCCAGGAGATTTCCAGCTTAGTCAGGTTAAGTCTTCCTTCAAATCAGAGCCAGCTGCAAAGTCTGAAGCGCCAAGCTGGGCTGGGATTAGAGACTTAAAACACAAATAAATAAAGTAATTGAGGCAGGACAGAGGGTGTGGAGGAGGCGGGGAACTTGGGCAAATCAATCTTGTCATTTATCCAAAGTGCCTGGTCCCAGAGGAGGCAGAGAAGGAAAGTTCGATTTTCACTGTCTTCAGGAGGAAGTCACATAATGCTGCATTACTGGAGTGCCTCTATTTGTCTTGAATTTAGCTTCAAAGACCTGTTAAGGTTAAGCATTCCTGGCCCTGGCGGTAGCTTGCATCATGTAATGCAAGACAAGAAGCTGTGTGTTCCACAGAGCATGAAAAGTTGAAGAATGTTTCTTCATTAGAATTGCAAAGCCTAATTAGTGCAAGATGCTTGGTCCCTAACAGTGTTTGGGAAGGCTGAGACAACTGCTAGACAGAACAGACAGTCCTATGAACAGATACTTTATTGTTTGATGCTGCTCCTGAAAACAGCCGGCTTAGATTTTGACTGACAACAGCTGGGGGTTGCTGTGCAGATCACTACCGGGAGTTCAAGAAATAGTCCTCTTTAGAAATATACGAAAGCTGTCATTTTCAGGGATCGTTATAAACTTCCTGGCAAGGTTACTGAACCAGGGAATTGGCTGAAAATTATAAAGAAGAATAAAACCAAGGCTTTAAACAAAAACCAAGTACTACAAGCTCATCAAGTTACACACAAGGAAACAGTGGTTGGAATCTTGCTTCTCAAACGGTCTGCATTCTACTAATGATTTAAAGAGAGGACAGGATGAATTGCAGTAGTCGCCACTGACCCCCAAGAGCATGGAAGAAGATTTTGAAAAATGGTCTCACTGAGAAGGCACAGTCTTTCTGAAAATAAACAGAACTGAGTCAAGGGACAAAAAGCCTGCATCCCAGAAACACACACCAAATGTTGATGAGGGCCTGCTTTCCTGCCAGGGGCTTGTTCTGGAGACACAAGGTTCTGGGTGGCATTTAAAGGAGTGTGCCTGGCAGAGAAGAGGCACTTCTCTCAGTGATAAGGCTACTTTTAAATTTTAAAAATGACCCAATTGTAAGGATAAGTGGCCGCTACTTTACCTGAAGGAGCTTCCTGAGGCACTCGTGGTGGCTGTTCTTGGCTGCGAGGTGCAGAGCGCTGTGTCCTAAATGGATTTAAAAAAGAAAATTGGAAAGAGAGGCCACACATTTTTCATCTCTTTCTTATCTCCACATTAAAGACAACTATGCGGAACTCAATGGTTCTCCAACAAAGATGGAGTGTTGTTCTTCAGACTAAGGCTTCAAATTCTTATCTGGAAAGTTCAGTGTGACAAAAGTGGGGAGGGCGCAGAGCACCCCGCCCACCAGATAACATTCACAGATCACCTCAAATGCCACTCGCCTGGGGTACAATTAAGCTCTAGGCTGGAGGCTTATGGTAGATCTGTGATGTTAAGTGCTGTTCAGTCAGTTCAGAGTCATAGCAACCCCGTATAGGGTTTCCGAGGAGTGGCTGAGGGGTTTGAACCGCCAACCTTGTGGTTAGCAGTCCAGTGCTTATCCTACAATGCCACACCAGGACTCCCGATATACAACCTATAAATTCTGCTTTCAGCTGTTACTATGCCAAATGTTCCAACCCTGGCAGCCACACCAGGCAAGGGTTACCCTGCACCTAGAAGCCCAACAAAAGCAGCCCAGCACACAAGCCAACAGGCAGAGAAAACACCAGAGACCTGCCTAGTTCCTACCTTTGACCTTTAATTTTTCTTAAATCTAAATGTACTCTCACCCCTGGGAAGAAATTCTCGGACTTTTCAGATTCTCCAAGTTCATATGCAGAAGGGAGAGAGTTGTAGAAACAACAACGCTATTCAAAACCTCCTTCAGTTTCCCCTTCATAGGACATGACTCCAGTATGATGACTTTGAAGCACTCAACCACAAGGTTGGTTTGAACCTCAAGGTCAGTGGTTCAAACTCACCAGATGCTCTCTGGAAACCCTACACAGGGTTGTAATGAGTTACAACTGACTCGATGGCACTTAACAACAAAACAATGCTATATGTGATACAAACAGTTAATGAACTTGGCTGTTAACCAAAACACTGGCTGCCTGGGCACCCTCAGAGACACCTCGGAAGGAGAGTCTGGCTGTCTGCTTTGGACAAAATTGCTGTGAAAAACTCTGTAGTTCTGACACACACGGGGTCACCGTGAATTGTAATTGACCTACGTACAAACTGGTTTCATGTTATATACATATACATATATATATATATATATAACTTCTCCTACCTGTAACATGCCTCCAGAATTTCTAGGGAAGAAGAGTTTAGGAGCACCTGAAGTCATCCTGATGTGGAGCTGTATGGTAAGCACTGGACTGCAAACCACAGGTTGGGAGTTCAAGCTCACCAGCTGCTCCTTGGAAACCCTAGACAGGGTTGCTATGAATCAGAACTGACTCAGCAGCACTTAATAACAACAGCAAAGCACAGCAGGATGACTAACGAACCTCAGGGTCTCTGCAGTTGCTCATAGCCTCGCCTAGCTATCTTCCCCGAATCCCGACACCCACTGCCATTGAATCGATGATGACTCTTGGCAACCCTGTGAGACAGAGTAGAGCTCTCCAGAGGGTTTCCAAGACTTGTAAACCTATCTTTCTCTTGCAGAGAGACTAGTGAGTTTGAACCTCAGACCTTACGGTTAGCAGTCCAATGCTTAACACCCATCAGGTGTTGTTTCTACATTGTTGTTTCTACAACTCTCTCCCTTCTGCATATGAACTTGGAGAATCTGAAAAGTCAGAGAATTTCTTCCCAGGGGTGAGAGTACATTTAGATTTAACACCCAGCAGTCCAATGCTTAACAGCCACCAGGGCTCCTTTGCAACCCTTGTTGTTGTTAAGTGCCGTTGAGTCGGTTCTGACTCAGAGTGACCCTCTATAGGGTTTCCGAGGCTATAAAGCTTTGTGGGAGCAGAAAGCCTCATCTTTCTCCTGCAGAGCAGCTGGTAGGCTTGAACTGCTGACCTTGTGGTTCGCAGTCCAGTGCTTCCCCTTTTTCCTCTTGTTGTTATTGTTAAGTGCCGTCGAGTTGGTTCCGACCCATAGCGACCCTGTACAGGGTTTCCGAGGGTGTAAATCTTTACGGGAGTAGAAAGCCTCATCTTTCTTCCGCGGAGCAGCTGGGTCTCTTGCCTCTTTCAGATACTACTCAAATGCCACCATCTGGGTTAGGCCTTGCATGTTTCCCTTTCTCCTCAACTAAAAATTCGAATCCCCCAAACTCTACTAATCCCTACGTCCTGCTTTCTTTTTTCAACAAAGCTCCTTCTAACCCTCCCTTCCCATGCCTCTCTCCACACACACACACACACACACACACTATGTAGTTAATTGCTTTTCTCTTCCCATAGGACGTAAACTCAATGAGGACAAGCACTGCTGTCTTTTTTGTTCCCTGCTGTCTTCCTACCAATAACAAACCCAGTCCAGTGCTGTCAAGTTGATGCCAACTCAAAGAGACCTGATCCAGGGTTTCCGAGATGGTCAGTCTTTACAGGAGCAGACAGCCGTATCTTTTCCCCATTGAACAGCTGATGGGTTTGAACTGCTGACAGTGTGGTTCATTAGCAGTTCAATGCTTAATCCACATTGACACCTGGGCACCTTTGCTATATCCCTGTTGTTGTTGTTTTAGTTAACTGCCGACTCATAGGTGAGTTTGAGCCGCCGACCTTTCGGTTCAAACAGACCTTGTGGTCCAGTGCATTACCCTAAACAGACCTTGTGGTCCAGTGCACTACCCTGCAGTATCCCTGGAGCTTACAAAAACACAGCTGGCATACAGTAAGATCTCAATAAACACTTGTTAATATGAGACAGAACCCAAACTAATTGCTAGCCAGTCAAATCAAGACTGACGGTGACCCCCCGTGTCAAAGGAACTGTGCCATATAGAATTGTCAATGGTTGGTTTTTGAGAAGTAGGTTGCCAGGGCTTTCTTCCCAAGTGCCTTTGGGAAAATTGCAACAGACTATGTTTTTGGTTAGTTGTGAACATGTTAGACATTTGCACCACTCAGGGACTCCAACTGGAAGCAGAGGGTATATTAATTTCAAATTGCTAGGACTGGGCGAGGGACAGGAACCACCACTACTATTACTTGTTGTTGTTGTGTGACGTGGAGTCGGTTCTGATTCATAGCGACGATCCTGTACAGGGTTTCTGAGGCTATAAATCTTTACAGGAACAGAAAGCCTCATCTTTCTCCCACGGAACACGTGGCAGTTTCAAACTGCTGACCTTGCGGTTCGCAGCCTGATTCGTAACCACTACGCTACTAGAGCTCCTAGTCAACCCAATATAACTAGTAAATTTTACATTCTGCACTTCCTAAACCATAAGCAGGTCACACTTTGGGGCATGGCTTAACGTGTCTTTTCTCAACTTCAGTGCTGCTGATATTTGAAACGGGACAATTCTTTGCTGTAGAGGAGGTCCTGTGCACTTTAAAATGTTAAGCAGCATCCCTGGCCTCTACCACACCTCAATGTGTCCATCAAAATTGTCTTCATATATTGCTAAATGTTGCCTGGGAGAACAGATGAATCAGCCCTAGCTAAGAATCACTAGCTTAGAATAACAACTGCTTTTGTATTTGATAGCTTAGTCCCAAAATAAAAGCTCTCCTTTCTGAACTATTGTCACTCTTTAACGCTGACTAGAAATCTGCTAATTAGAGAATCCGCTCGTTTAATATTAAAAGGCTGACTTCTGGAAAGATGGTGGACTAGGCAGATGTGCTACATGGACCCTCTACAACAAAGATTGTTGTTGTTGTTAAGTGCTGTCAGTCAGTTCCGACTCATAGCAGCCCTGTACAGGGGTTCCTAAGAGCAGCTGGTGGATTTGAACCACCAACCTTGTGGTTTGCAGTATAAGGCTTATCTTACAGAACCTCACCAGAAATCCACAACAAAGATGTTGTTGTTGTTAAGTGCCATTGAGGTGGTTCCAACCCATAGCGACCCTGTATAGGGCTTCTGAGGAGCAACTGGTGAGCTTGAACGGCCGACCTTGCTGTTCTAACTGACTATTAACCCAGAGCGCCACACCAGGATAAAATAAGATAGACACAGATGAAAATTTTAGCACCCTGCACTTCTGAAGCAAGGCTAGAAAGGTGGATGGAGTGCTTGCTGGGAGGAGAGGTGGAGCAGGGAAGGTGAGAGAGGGAGACTGACTAGTGAAGGGCTGCACAGATGAGGCTTGACCATCTTGTGAGCAGCCTGGCAAAGAAGATTCCAGAGGGTGACGGGAAAGGTGCTAATCCTCCTTTCCCCCACACACCCCTGGTGACCAGAGTTGTGGCCAGCTCCCACCCTCATCTACCCCAAGTGCAGATCCTTGCTTTCTGGGAGTTCAGAGCTGTGTGGTTGGGAGCCACACCAGTGGGAGTTGGGGCCGGCTGGGCCGCTTTGGTGCTTGGCTTCACATGGGCTTGGCTCCAGAGCTACAAAACCTACAGAGCCACCAAACTGGCATTTAACCAAACACTCTGCTCCCAGCGTCCTGTGGTCCTAACAGACACTGAAACCAGCCCCACCAAGGGCCCCCAGGAACTACTTCCGGACTGAATGCCGTGACCACAGGTAACACCAAAGCCACAGGAACTCCATTTAGGGCCAGGAACTCTGCTGTCACATCTTCTCCACAGTTACCTCATGAACTCCTTGAATTGCAGGAGCCTCCCAGAGATTTCTCCCCTTGAGATCCAACAACGGAACCGTTTGTTTTTATAAATATGACAACCACACAATGCCCCAGAGACAACAGACAATTTCATCTCACACAAAGAAAACAAGAGAGAATGGCTCAAACAAATGACCAACATGCAGACCCAGAAAACGTCTCTGAAGAAGAAAAGGTAATGAAAGTATTTGAAAGATCTCAAAAGCAAGGAGAACACAGAAAACACTTGAAAAAATTTCAGGAAAACACCACAAGAACAAACGGACAAAATGAATGCAAATTTTGAAACAAAACAATTAGAAATCCAGAGAATTAATACTAATACCTCAGAAATGGACAATACATTGAAAGAGCGAAGGAGTAGATGCAAAGCAATGGAAACCTAAATTAGTGAGCTTGATGAAAAATCTCTCAATACCAGCTAGAAGAACAATCAGAAAAAAGAATGAAAAAAACCAAAGAAAGTCTAAGAGTTATGTGGGACCCCATCAAGAGGAACAGCTATGGGTGACTGGAATTTCCAGAAAAGGAAGAGACAAGCAGAGACAATTGTTGAAGAGTTGTTGGAAGAAAACTTCCCCAACATCATGAAAGATGAGAAGACAAGTATACAAGAAGCTGAATGAACCCCAAACTGGATAGATTCCACAAGAAAATCACAATGACATATCATAATCAGACTTTACAAAACCAAAGACAAGTAAAGAATCCTGTGAGCAGCTCAGAAAAATGAAAAGTTATCTACAAAGGAGAACCAATAGGACTAAGCTCTGACGTCTCAGATGAAACCATGCAGGCAAGAAAGCAATATGATGACATATACAAAACTCAGAAAGAAAAATTTCCCAACCAAGAATCATATGCCCAGCAAAGTTGTCCCTCAAATACAATAGCAAAATGAGGACATTTCCTGATAAACAGAAATTAAAGGAATTTGTAATGACCAGACTAACTTTACAAAAAATGCTGACGAGAATAAGAACCAACAACAGCAGACAACAAGTTAAGATTACCATACATGACAACGTGACAACACCACCCAGAACTCAACCCATATATAGAAGTGTTTAAAGTAAAACAAACCGACAAGACAAAAAATAGGGAAACCAGAAATATCAATGTATAATGAAGTCAACTACAAAGCAAAAAGAGGGAATAGTGTAGATATAGAAATTCCAAATGGCAAGGAACTTGGTTAGATTTCAAGATAAAACTGACTGTTTTAAGCAGGGAAAATTATAAATGAGGAAAATTAGAATGATGAATCCCCTTTGTATTCTATAAGATACTGTCATTCCAGGATGCTAACTGCTTAGCAGAGGAGTTCAGTTACATTGTGTATGAAGCAGGCTTTGGTGGGCTAGCTTGGAACTTGGCCATCATTTAAGAACAAGCACATTCAGAGTTTTAAACAAAGGTCTTGCAAATGAAGTTCTGGAACACATGCTGATTGTAAGTTGGAAACTGTTTATACCATGTACATAATGCATTATTTTTTGTCTATGTCATGGATAAAAGCTGTTCTACATAAACAGCCCCCATTTGAAAACAAACAAACAAAGTTCTCCAAAGACAACATGGTAGGGGAATTTAAAAATCATATCATAAAATAATGAATAAGCTTCCCATTTCACTCCAAGGATTCGAGTTATACCTGGTGTCCTTCTTGATAAGCAAATGCCTTTTATTCTCTGACTCTTGGATATGTTTTCTAACCAGCAGCAGAAGAGTATTTTTCACTTAAAATAGTTTCAAAATCTAAATGACAATACCATTCCCTGAGCACTATTTCCCTGAAGTGAGATGTCTCTTACTAGTAACATTAAAACAAAACTGGAAAAAATCCTAGGGAGAATATATTTTATTAGTGACAGAATCCCACGATAGTGAAGCAATGCAGAAGACTAGCTCCCATACAACCGCAGATCCATCTAGAACATCCTGGTGCAATTTCCCCATAGGCAAATAACAAGGGCAGCCCTACTTCCAGTGCATTTTAGCAGAACTTTTCATGCAAATGAAAGGGCCAGAACTATTTATACACAGAACCTCTGGGTGATGGAAATGGTTATCATGCTTGGTTGCTAATGAATAAGTTGGATGTTTGAATCCACACAGGAGAATCTTGGAACACTCAGTCACTGGAAACCCTATGGAAAAAGTTCTACCCTGACATATGTGGGGTGGCCAAGAGTCAGATTCAAGTCAATGGAAACTAGTTTATTTATAAGTGCAGAGTCTTGGACTACTATAAGCAATTTTCTGAATACTATTAGAGATTCGAAGAAAGATGACTCTGTAGCCAACCACAGAGTAGTAGTTGTTGTTAAGTACCGTGGAGTCGGTTCTGACTCACAGCGACCCTGTACAGGGTTTCCGAGGCTGTAAATCTTTACGGGAGCAGAAAGCCTCATCTTTCTCCCATGGAACAGCTGGTAGTTTCGAACTGCTGACCTTGCGGTTCGCAGCCCGAATCGTAACCACTACGCTACCAGAGTAGTAGCTGTCTACAAATGACCTCAGATAATGATTGTTTATTCCTTTTTTTTTTTTTTTAAGACCGCTGGAGAAAACAGGGACGAATTAGCAAGTAGAGGTATTAATTATGGGGCTTACAAAGCGCTTTTTGCATGCACATGAAAATATTTAAAACTGATGAAATCTTCTGATATAAAGATACGACAAAACTATACCAAAAGTCCAAAGTTTGCTAAATCATACTTTGAGAACACAGTATAGGAGCATTTAGAAGAATAAAGTTAATTAAGTAGCCCTCAATTAGATAGGAAAATTTTAAATATTTTCTTTAAAAAAATCAGAATTTCAGAATGCAGAATATATTATAGCAATAAAAGCATAGGTTGAAAAAAATGCACAGGTAAATTTATTTGGTACTTACTCGATACCAAAATTACTTAAAATATATTTTCAAGTGTGGAATCACCGCAGAAAGCAATCTGGCCTTTTATACTTGCTTCTTTGAAGCTGGATGTATTATCTAAGGGTAATAAGTGGGGGCTGTCCAGACCAAGAGGGGCCACCTGGGGTTTTGGTGCTGACTACTGTATTTCCAAGCAAATAGCAAGCATGTTATGCATAGTTTTTTGCTGGTAACACTCTTGCAAAGGCATAGGCAAATACCTGAAACGATGCCAAATGCTAGTCATTAGAAGGGATTCCATTTTCTTCTTTTGACTTGCTGCTAAGTTTTCCACAATGATATCTACTCTCATGCTGGTCTGTTGACTTCAGAGATAAAAACCACATACCTGCAGTATCCTGGGCCGTCACATCCACACCATGGGTAACCATGACCCTGAGGCATTCCACGTGTCCCTTTGCAGCAGCAAGATGGAATCTGAGAAAAGAGAAACACAGTCACCGTAAGAGTCCCATTCTCTGGAGTCCAACTCTGGCTCATTTTTGGCCTCTTCACACACATGGTCTTCCATTCACGCTTTACAACCATTCAGTGAAACCCATTACCATCCAGTCGATTCCTAAAAGAATCCCAGCGACCCTATATAAGGTTTCTGAGGCTGTGATTCTTTACAAGAGCATACAGCCTCATCTTTCTCCCGAGGAGCAGCTGGTGCCTTAGAACTTATGACTTTGTGGTTAGCAGCCCAACACCTAACCCACAGCGCCACCAGAGCGCTTTATTGTCCAGTGATTTGTTGTTGCTGTTGTTGAGTGTATGGAGTAAGTTCTAGTTCATAGTGACCCTGTAAAGGGTTTTCAAGGAGCAACTGGTGGGTTTGAACCACTGACCTTATGGTTAGCAGTCTAGTGCTTATCCTACATAGTACCACACCATCCAATGAGTAGGTATTATTTATTTTCAACCTCATTTTAAACTGAAGTACAAAGGACTCTGATCATTCATTAATTGACACCTCATGTTAAGTGATGGCGCATAAACTAGGTCTTCTGACCTAAAGACCAGGCTGGAGAGAAGTCAGGAGATTCAACTACCTACTTACTTCTCTCATGAAACCTCAATAGTTAGAGTGTTCCAACTAGATTCGATTTCTCAATGATTAATATTTTATTAATTTTTTTCCATTGCCTAGTGTTTGCACCTATGCCAGCGTTTTAAAGTAGTACACCCAGTAAATAGAATCATGTCTAAATTCAATCAGTGGTCAAAGTTCACCGACAATATCAACACCGAATCCACTCTTGCGTTGTAACTGAACAGTAGATGCATACGACATGTGCTGAAGTGTCCAATCCGTGTCAAGCATCTGCTCATGTGCTTTTCTATACGTTGTGTCTTTTCAGCCACATAATAACCCTTTGAGGTGAGTCTCATCACTATCTCCATTAGCTGGACATTGTCTATAATGGGTCAGCTGCAAACAGCATTATATAAAGCCAACAATTAGGGCTGTAATATTTAATGCACCTTGGGTGTGAAAAAGGAGCCCTGGTGTCACAATAGTTAAGTGCTTGACTGCTAACCAAGGTTGGCAATTTGAAGCCAGCAGCTGCGCCATGGGGGCATGATGAAGCAGTCGGCTTCTGTGGAGATTTACTGCTTTGGAGCAGTTCTACTCTGTCTGACAGGGTCATTATGAGCTGGAATCAACTTGACAGCAGTGGGTTTGGGTTTTTGGGGGAAGAAAAGCCATGATCAGCATGTTGAGACCAGTCACTGAAAGAAGGAATAATATCCGGAGGACACACCAATCACTCCTTCTGGTACAAGGGGGAGGGGACTTCTATGAGAAGTCTTTCTAAAGAAAGCACATGGTCCGTGGCTGCAATGGTTGAAACTCTTGGGAAGGTCTCTACTGTGGAGACCTGCGATGTCTGGGTTCCTGTCTGCTGAGACAGGCTACCAGGCCTTTAGTTCGCCTCCTGCCTCAGCTGTTTGAGGGAGCTGTTCTCTTAGGATACTGCCCATGCAGTGGCTCACAGCTGTTCCTCTGAATCAGCGGCCAGGGAACCGTTCCTCATAGGCAGGATCTAGTACTGAGGCCCAAGGCTCTACCCAACCATCAAATACTAGAGGTGGTATTTGAACCCAAGTTGGTCTGATTCCATTGCTCTGCTCTTAATAAGAAAGCTTCAGAAAATGTGAATAGAGTCCTGGAGCATCTAATGGGGAAACATCAGTTGCAGATACAAATCAATCATAACGTAGCCAGCTATGTGTCAGCTCAAAGTCTCTGAACCTAAATGTAAAATGTGAGTATCATTGTAAAATATGAATATCAAATCGGATGATTTCTAATATTTCTTCTGGTTCTGTTGTTGTTGTTAAGTACCGTAGAGTTGATTATGACTCATAGTGACCCTGCACAGGGTTTCCAAGGCTGTAAATCTTTACGGGAACAGAATGCTTCATCTTTTTTCCCGTGGAATAGCTGGTAGTTTCGAACTGCTGACTTTGAGGTTAGCAGCCCAATTCGTAATCATTACACTATCAGAGCTCCTTTCTTCTGGTTGGTGTTATCAAGCTCCTGCCTGGCTTGATAACACCAACTATTTCTGCATTTGTGCAGCAATTCATGTGCTAACGTATCCACACAGTTACAATTTAGTTGGTAGGTGATTTTTCACATTACAGTAAAACTCTGATCATATGGAAGGTACTTGGAAATGTGGAGATAGGCGTAAAAAGAATTCTAGATTCAGCTCAGTTCAACCAAAAAGACCTCCTTAAAAGGCAAGACAATAATGCCTCCATGTTTTTAGAATTATTGGGGTTAACTTAATTTTACAACAAAAGCTCACATTTAAGCAGTTAATCTTATGCATGTGAAAGCTGGACAGTGAATATGGAAGACCGTAGAAGAATTGATGCTTTTGAGTTATGGTGTTGGAAAAGAATATTGAAAGTGCCATGGGCTGCCAGAAGAACCAATAGGTCTGTTTCGGAAGAAGTGCAGCCAGAGTGCTCCTTGGTCAGAAGGACCAGTTGCTGGAGTTGGATATCATGTTTGGTAAGGTGGAGAGTCAGAGAAAAAGATGAAGACCCTCAATGAGATGGCAGCATTGATGGACTCCAGCGTAACAACAGTAGTGAGGTTGGCCCAGGATCAGGCAGTGTTTCATTCTGCTGTGCATAAGGTTGCTATGGGTCAGTACCAACTCGATGGCACTTCATAACAACTTGTGTTTTAGCTGATCTTGGTGGAAAGTTTCTAAAATGCCCCAAGCTTAATAACAGGATTGTTGTTGTTAAGTGCCGTTGAGTAGGTATCAACTTATAGCGACCTACCTGTGTAGGGTTTCTGAGGAGCGCTGGTGAGCTTGAACCACTGACCTTGTAGTTGAAAGCAACCTTGCAGTCCAGCACTTTAACCCACAGTGCCACACAGGACTCTGTTGTTGTTGTTGTTAAGTGCTCTTAAGTTGGTTCCAACTCATAATGACCCTGTATAGGGTTTCCAAGAAGTGGCTGATGAGTTTGAATAGCCAACCTTGTGTTTCAAACCGAACTTGAGATCCAGTGCTTATCTTATGCACATAATTTCATTGTCCTTGAGGATTTGGAGTTACCATTAAGAGCCTCAATTATTGAAGTTTGCCTTAAGACTACTATTCTAAAGGGCCCTAAATGCACTGAACTGCAAAGTTGGTTTGAACTACAAGGTTGACAGTTCAAGTTCACCAACCACTCCTTGGAAACCCTATGCAGGGTTGCTATGGGTCAGAACCGACTCAATGGCACTTAGGGACAACAAATGTGGCCTGTAGGATAAGCACTCAATTCTAAGATTGGTTATAACCACAAGGTTGGTGGTTCAAACTCACCAGCTGCTCCTGGGAAACCCTATACAGGGTTGCTATGGGTTGGAACCGACTCAATGGCACTTAACAACAACAACAACAACAGCTATTGGTGTGGTGCTATAGGATAAGTACTCAATTGGAATGTTGGTTTGAACGGCAAGTTCAGTGGTTCAAGTAGACCAGTCGTTACTTGGAAACTCTATACAGGGTCACTAGGAGTCAGAACCGACTCCATGGTACTTAACAGCAACAGGTACTGGATTCCTGGTGTGACACTGTAAGATGAGCACTAGACTGCTAAGCACAAGGCCAGTGGCTCAAACCCACCAGCTGTTCTTTGGAAACCTATACTTAACAACAAATAGCTATTAGTATTTGTAGGTTTACGATTTGATCTAGCAATCACACTCCTAGACATTTACTCAACTAGGTACAATTGTTCTGCTCGCATAAAAACTTGCACATGACTGGGCATAGCAGTTTTCTTGATAATCACCAAATATTGGCACCAACACAAGATGCCCATCATTAAAAGAATTCATAAACTCTGGTCTATCCATATAATGGAGTATTATTATTTAGTCATAAAAAGAAATGAGCCATCAAACCACAATTAGGCATAGCTACATACTATATGATTTAACTATACGGCATTCTGGAGAAAGCAAAAGGAGAGAGCTAAGGAAGGAATGAATGGGCAGAGTGTGAATGGAGTATCTATATGGTACTGTAATGGTGGGCAGACTGTATTTGTCCAAACCACACAACTGTACAACACAAATCGTAACGTGTTGTGGTGGGGCTGTGATCAGGTGCCTGGTAAGTTCAAACCCACCAGCTATGCCACAGGAGAAAGATGAGGCTGTCTGCTCCCATAAAAATTTAGTCTCAGAAACCTTATACAGGGTGGGCATGAGTGTGGTCAGTAGAGTGGTTTAGTTTGGTTTTTATGAAAAGTGGGCAAGTGAAGAAATAAGACACAAATGGGACTAAAAAATGATTTGTCATCATCCCCTTTATACTATGTTGTTGTTAAGTGCTGTCAAGCCGGTATAGGCTCTGAATGTGACCCCAAAGCAGAGCCAATTTTCAATGAGCTATTCTAGTGGAAAGTTGGGGTGTTAGAGGGAAAAACATTGGTCAATGACAGAACCCCAGGATTTGTAGGGGGCGATGAGTAGACTCCTTTTCTTAAGCAGCAACTGATGAATGTGGGTATCATCAGTGGTATCAGTCTGAGTAACTGATGGGTGGGGGACTACTACACCTCTGGAGGGTGGTAAGGCTTGGGGAGCAGATGATGCCCCATGTCAGCGCACGGCTGGTGAGTTTGAACTGACGACCTTGCAGTCCAGCGCATTAACCCGCAGCGCCACACCAGGACTCCATAGCTCAATATAATCACTCACTCGTATATCTACTATGGTACTAGCATAGTACGTGCTGGCCCTTGTTTTGTTGTTGTTTCTCCATGCTGTCTTAGTTCTCTACAGCTGCTGGAACAGAGGTACCACGAGTGGATGGCTTTAGCAAACAGAAATGTAGTCTCTCATAGTTTAGGAGTCTAGCAGTCCTAATTCAGAGTGCTCGCTTTGGGGAAAGGCATCTGTAGGC